CTTTAAATAATCTTCTGTGGGTATTTTCACAGTCAAATTTATTTTACGATTAATTAATCGAAACATCATGTAATTAATTAGATTAAAGATTTTAATCAACTGACAGCCCTAATGTATATATGTACATATATATGGATCACTGGTGCTCCACTGTAGGTTAACAGGTTAACTTTTCTGCTTGACACATTTTGCTAACTGCTAATCAATGTGATTCTGTATCTGTTCATGAAATTGTGAAATTCTGTGTACTCTAAAAATGTTCATGTTTTTTTCCTATACCCTCGATGTTTGGCAATGAATGAAATGTTTAATACCAATTTATTTTTTGTAACGATTACTCTCAGCCAAGATATTGATCTAAAGTGGTTAGTCTTTTCTCCAGCTGAGTAAGTGAAGACAATGAAGGACTCTTCACCTTTATGGCCTGCAGCTCTTTTCCTTTGTCTTTTTCTTCTCTAATTTTCTGACGCCCATCATCTTCATCATTCCCATTGTTCTCTCTTTCCATCCGCTCCCTTCTTTCCCGCCATTCTCTCTCCTGAGGATCCTCTGCAAGTTGGATTAGGTAAGATGATAAGAAAAGAGAAGAACTGAACATTGCAGACACAAACTAAATGACACAAAAGCCCAATTTTAAAAGTATAATCATGTTTCTACAGATGCTGCTGTGGTCCTGCATCTCACCTAGCATCTTCCTGCCGATGTCCTGAAATATTCTTCGTTTCTTCCTCTCCTCGTCCACTTGTTTGCGGCGATCCTCTGTCTGCTGCTCCCTCCGTTTGATGGCCTCAGCTTCCCGCTCTGCTTTAGACAAGAACTTGGGCTGGAACAGGAACAAATGTTTAGAAAAAACAACAACAGTGGAATGCATTTGCATAAATATAAAAAAAATAAATCTCTTCACCTTAGATTCTGCCTCTTCTTCTACTTTCTTCTTAGCAAGCAGCTCTTCAAGAGAAAGAGGCTGCACCTGGAACAGTGCAGAAACAGTGTAAAAAAGTGCACAGTACGCAACATTCAAACTTGAAATGACTTCTAATAGAGCACCTTCTCTTTCTTCTCATTTTCCTCCTCTTCCTCTTTTTTCACATCCTTCTCCCTCTTTATTTTCAAATCCTTGGATTTAGGAGAAGTGCTCCTGGGAGGAAAAAGCAACACTTTATAACCGAGTATTAAAGTCATCACGAAATCAACATTGATAATACTTCTTTTAATGCAATATTGCAGTGTTCATAACAAATTTCTGCACATCATCAATTTTTCTTTAATTCATGTGCCCATTTTTTCTCATTTGAGAATCACTTGGATATATCGGTCACAATAGGGAAGAAAAAATGATTGCAACTTCCATTTCATGCCGACTTTAATATATATATATATATATAT